GATATTGTCGAAAAGAGAATGAGACAAACGATATGTTAGATTTCCTGTATGTGCAGAATTTCAACTGTTCTTTGCTGCAGTCTGCCTCAGTGCTATTGTTTGATACTGGTAGGGGTTGTGCAGTTCGCTCTCAGCCTAGGCCAACTTTAGAACAGGAATCTTTAAAAAATCAGTGCCACTTCACTTGTGACACTTTTTTTCCCTCCATCTTTGCTAAACTTAAAATTATATCTTAAACTTGTGAATGATTTACCATACATGATTATCATTCATATGATAATATTTAACTATATGTATTTTGAATTCGTACTTTGTTTATTTATCAAAGGACAAATGTCAATAAAATGACATTTTCAACTATGTATATGAGGCAGATAAGTAGGTCAATTTATGACCAAAAATTTGATGAAAAGCAGTTTTAAAGCTCTTTAGATTTTATGGCTGATCTGATGATTAATTTTGTATATCCCTTGGCATATCAACTTTATTTGAGTCATATAAGAAACAAGTAGAAGTGGTTATGTGCGTTACCAGAAATCCATTCTCACTTTACATGTAGCTTTAAGCAAAGGCATTATTCTTGACCAATAAAATCAGAAGTTAGCCTTTCAAAAAGATACCTAAGCACCAGATTGTAGTACTTATTGTTGTTATTAAATAGGCATTTATGTGGAGGTGATAGCTGTTCAGGTGAAGGATATCTGTTTGAAATCGAGACACAAATTTCACCAAACACACAATATATATATAAATTCACCTTGATGTATTTTTGATTTCACAGCATTATCTTATATATCATTGTTTTCATTTATGCATTATTTAAGTAAATAAGGAAATAGGTCCTAATATATCGATCCACCTTAAGGATACCATTAATATGATCAGTTATCCCAGCAGCATATATGGTATGCTTGCCAGACAAATGTAGTGCATAGTTCTCTATAACTCTTTCTGCTTCTTCGGTGTGGCTAATCAAGTGCCCTCTTCTTTATATAAATAGGTGATGGATTTCCTACTATTTCAAATGACTTCTGAAGAAGAACCTGTTAAGCCTAGGTCCCAACTATGTTTTGGACGCATGCTTTTTAGGTTCCTCGGCCGGCTAGGACGTAGCTAGATCGCAGGGAAGGAATCAAGTAATTGGTGAAAAGTTTCTACGTGCTGTTTGCATCCTCTAAAAGTTGCACGATGGATGTACTCCTCATGCACAAACTCCCACGTTTTCCCCCATTTTTTTTGTTGTAGACAACATGTAACAGCCCGTACGTTCCGTTGGGACCTAGGCTTTAAAGACAATATATGGGATGATATAATGTGTTGCCTGAATTATAGGTGAAGATGGTTTTTAAATTCTGTATATCTATTTTTTTCATTCAATTTGCTTATGAAGAACAAAACTATTTATACAGAAGAGATGCAGATACAGTTAACATACCTGTAGATATGGAACTTACCTTGTGCCTGTAATGGTATAACTTGATAGAAAATAGTGTAATGAATTTTAACTGGTTTATGCTTTTAAGGTCAGTGCATATCCCATACATAGAACAAGATTAGATAGGCTTCCATCTGAATCCTAAAGATGTTAAGCTAGAGATCATAGTGTTACTATACTAGAGGAATATGTGACAAGGTATCAGAATACTGACCGCCCTATCTAGGCCATTCTAGATCAATGCTTACTCCAGTAAAAAGAAAACTAATAAAAGTATGGTTGTTTATGTGGAGTTTTTGTTGACAAGGTTGTATGGCTATTATGTGTGTTAACTATACAGAAAGCTGTTTAACTAGACCTTATTGTGGTAAAATGAATGTGGTAAAGTGAAAGTGAATTTGAAGTTTGAACAGGAAATTCTGCTTTCTTTCCTATGACTCCACGGCCATTTTGATTACCCTCTGCCAGGCCCACTGATTGATTTTTCACTAGATATTAACGGATAATGTCAATCTTCTAACTGTGACTGGTGGAAAATGTACCTGTCATATCTGCTGCCCTCGTAGAGGATACATTTTGTTTTCCTTGAATAGGTTTAATCACTGAATTTTGAGTTAACCACTGATAGTGAAAATACCATTTTTCAACTAAAGCAACTTTTTTATTATGTACAGACACAGATGTGTCTGTACATATTGCCATCACCTGTGTCTGTCGTCGCCATTGCTGTCACCGTCGACAGCCTGAGTTGGAAAAGCAATCTGTTTAGTAAATTTTTCTGGCAGTTAAACTGTTTTTTGTGAAAATTTAATTTTTCACATATATATTGGCATTTTCAAGGTGTGACTTAGAACCTCCATGGGCTTGAAGACCCATGCTAGTAACATTTTCTGAAAATCCATGATACGTATATTTTATTATTAAAAATTGATGGTCATTTTGCTGTTAAGCATTATGTAATATTGCATTAAAATAGAAGAAAACACAATTTTGGGTGCTGCTCCCATGATGTCCATTATGGGAAAACCATGTTACTTATGATTGTCAAACTTTCAAAAAAGAAACACAGGACTAAAATGCAGCCCGAGTTGGAAAAGCAGTCTAATTGGCTTCTTTTTCTGGAAGTTATACATTTCAGTGAAATATTCATTTTTATCGCGTTGGGATATTCATTGAGGGACTCAAGAGCTCCCATGGACATGAAGCCGAATGGTAATCAAATCTTCTACATGTCCATGCTATTTATAGTCAATAATCAAAAATTGGTGATAATTATTCTGTGATTTATTAGGTAATGTTACATCAAAATTGACAAAAATCTTTTTGCACTGCTGCTACAAACATTAGGCCACACTTTTTTATTTTTATGGATGACATCCTCTGGGGACCCCAAAATCGGTGCCAGAGGGCGAAAAAAAAAAAAAAAAAAAACAGTACAAAAAAAAGATGCTGCTTAAGTAAAGAATTGCTGTCAGTACATAGTTGGAAACAAATTTACCACAGAAACATGTATCAAACTAACAATATGTCTTTATCCATGCTCTCAAAATATTAAAGCATTGTGAATACTTCATAGAAAAGTAAAAAAAAAACATGAATAGATGGGCTCGTAGCCAGGGGGTTAGAAAGAACCGCCCCTTTTGCTGGGAAAAGGTCCACTCTGGGTAAAATTTGATCTAAATACATTAAGTTTTTATGGAAAATGGTCTACTTTTTCAAAAAAAGACCCCCCCCTTTTGAAATTGCCCTGTCAACTCTTTTCGCTACAAAAAACCTGGTATGCGCTGCTTTGGACAGAATGTCACTGAAATTTTCCGGGTGATAATTGCTGTCCGCCGCCAGTTTTCAGCATGTCTGCATTTTACTTATATTGGTATTACCTGTTGAGCATAATTAAAATTTGATGTTGAATTTGCAGTTAAGCATAATGTACTTTTGCATCAGAATTGACAGTAGCCTATTTTGTGCATTGTTATTTTCTGCTTTTTATCTGTACATTTGACAGCTTTGCTGCCTTGTTATATAATAAAGTTTGTGTTATAGTATTTGAAAGCTGTTGATTGGAGACTGATTTTTGTAGTTGTAGTATCCTCATAAATATTCATGTGTATATATCATATAACCCCATCGTGGATGTAGTATCCTCATAAATATTCATGTGTATCATGTGACTCCGCTGCTTACTGTAAGTTTCCACGTGTAGTGAAATAAAGTCATTGCATATGTAAGTAAATCTCCAGTGCGTTAGCGTTCTCATTCATAACAAGAATATCAGGTGCATTGGCGACGAGGTGAAAACGGTAAAAGTGTAAAGACGCAGAAATATTGACAAAATTCAACGAAAAAGTTGAAGATAATGTTGAGGCCGAACTACATGTGATGTTACGATGACCGAGTGAGAAAGGGTTAACTGTAAATGCTAATAAGTGCAAGTTTAATTGCAAAGAAATTTTGTTCTATGGACGTGTTTTCCACTGAAGGAATCGTGCTCGATCCAGGTAAAGTAAAATCACTGGTCAAAATGGCAAAACCAAATGTGTCTGATCTTGGTTCATTGTTAGGCATGGCGCAATAGATTTATAAACAACTTTGCAACTATTACAGAGCCACTGAGACAACTTACACGTAAAGACAGCGAATAGAACTGGACATCAGAGCAGGACAATGCATTTCAGGAACTGAAAACATTGCTCTCACAAGCATCGACACTTGCATACTATGACGTGAAAAAAAAAACGGTAGAAATAAATCTACCTAGACTTTGCAAATCATTCCTTGTCTTTAATAGCAATTAACTGTGAAATCACGATCTCCTAACTGCTTTGGTTTAAGATGCTTTTTGGAAAAGCATTGATTCGATCTGAATTCCATAACTACGAGGAACAAATGAAAGAGTAACATGGTCCTCTTTAGTGAACTTTTTAAATTGTTCCTAATTCCTATATTTATTTATAGTGGTTAACAACCATTTCTTGGAAGTAGGCTAACATCACATCCATCTTTCTATTGATGACAGTATGACTATACCTGAGAAATGTGTGACAAGGCATCAGTATTTCAAACTTACCCCCTGGCCTCATTACAAAAAAAAAACAAAAAAAAAACGTAAGTTGGGTTCTCTGGCTAATATCTTTGTTATTTACATTAAATGAACACATGCACACATCTTACCCTGTCAGGAACAGTGTTACAGCACTCTCATGGAACATCTAGACAACCAAACCTGAGAACTGACGAAGTTTTTTTTTTCTTTGTGAAATGGGCCTGATCTATCATATTTTTTCACAATTTATTGTTCACTATTCTCCTTGTTTACATGCCCTTATCTGTATCTAGGAGACCATTCCCACAGATATTTAGATCGATCTATCCCCCTGAGCAGTCTCACTAGATTGCTATCAGCTTAATTGCCTTAAATGTCTGTCCCACCTACTAAAAGTTGTAAGGGGGTAATTAACTTTGGTGCACGCTCAGCTCCTGGAAGCTGACAGCAATTTAGCGTGAACCCCCAGGGAGTTTGGTCGATCCAGATGGATCGATCTTAATCTGTGGGAACCCAGTCTAGGTCGTTGCTTACTCCAATGATGAAAGAGATAAGTTCTATTTTTATATTGTAGGTTAACCAGCTATCAGATAGCTTAGATTGTTAAATTGTTATAAGTTTGCCTAGTCTCCATGCTAACATACCATTATCTGTATCTAGGTCAATGCTTACTCCAGTAAAAAAATGTATAAAAAGTATGATTGTTTATGTGGAGATTTTGTTGACAAGGTTCTATGACTATTATGTGGGTTAACTATACATAAAGCTGTTTAACTAGAGCCTATTATGGTAAAATTAACTACCTAGTAAAGTAAAAGTAAATTTAAGTTTGAACAGGACATTCTGTTTTCTTTCTAGAATGTACCTGTGTCTCTAAGACCATTTTACTTACCTTCTACCAGGCCCACTGATTGATTTTTCACTAAATATTCCCAGATAATGTCTCTGGCTAAATATGGCCTTGAAATCTTCTAGCTGTAGCTGGTGGAAAATATACCTGTAATATCTGCTGCCCTGGTAGAGGATACATTTTGTTTCCCTTGAATAGGTTTATTGAACCAAATATCTTATTGTATATTTGGGCATTGTTGTGATCTCCAATAAAAACACATTGCAGTCTGTAAAAGAGTATGTAAAAATAGAACTTTTAAAGGTAGGGTTCCATTGTTATTACGTGGGTTTGCAATACAACTAGTAAGTATAAACTGTGATTGATAAATGGAGGGGCTACCTACTAAACAATGTGGAAAGTTTGCAAAAAAAATTGTTGCTGTAAATTGATTTTCACAAATTTGCACTGTGAAGTTCATTCTTTTGGAAGAGAGTTTGTGTCAGACCAAAAAATGTTGCTCAGGGTCAGCCAGCAAAGAAATACTTCTACTATTAGCGGTTAATCAACGTGTTTATCAGCTTTGTCTCAACAACATTATTCATTATTTAGCAAAGAAACCAGTCTGTCAAATACTGAAATATACCCAAGAGACCTACCTGTGGTTGACCAATTTTTTCACTTCTTGGACTAATAGGTTATAACCTCAGTGCTGGTAATCCTTTTTAGCAGACGAGGGCTTATCAAGGTGACATCAAGATTATTTATTCTACAAAGAATTTTCAAAATTTTCTCAAGGTTGAATGAATTAAATAAAACAAAGTTATGGTGAATGCAAAATAATGATGTAGCTTGCAATTGAATTCTTCTTTATTTGTTGTTTTTGAAACTTCTCATGTCTTGCATCTGTGCACAACAAAAACATGCTGATAATCCCTAAAAAGGTGTCACAAAAGACATTAAGGAGACATCCTAGAAGTTTGAGATAAAAGTCTTTCATAGCTACATGGATTCTACATGCATTTCAACATAACATCTTAATATCTCAATATTTTTTTAGAAACTTTGATTTTTTTATCCCTGATGCTCCAGAGTTAATTGCCAATTTCTTGGAGGGTGAACAAGATGCATCCTGCAAGAGAAAATGCCTTTATGATACTGATACATGTTGACTAGGTACTTGGAAATCACTGTCCGTTATATTTCATCAGACCTTGATCAATCTATCCTACTTTTGTTTCAGGTTTTGCTAAATTTTGTTTAATACTTATTTTTAACAAATGTGAATATATGGTTTTCACAAAATATTAGCCAAATTACCTTTGGAGTGTGTTATTATATCAAACGTTACTTATTACATGTAAATTGATTTTGAATATGCCTTGGATGTTTGTAATATATAATGTCTGTTATAAGAATTTGAAGACTTGCAATTGAATATTTTCTCAGGAGCGTGCTTTGACCTACCTTGTAAGCTGCATAGACCAAGTGACATCAATCGGAGACATTCTCCAGTTGGTTTTAGTGGAACTTATCTACAAGGTAATAAACTGTGACTCTTGAGTTTTAGTTGGGAAGTGTGAAAAATTATGTATATTTTTCTATTAAAGAATTTATCAGTGCCCTTCCAACTTTCCCTCTCCCCAGTTTCAAGTTGTGTCATTCTCATTCTCATTAACGATCATTCTCTTAATGTGTTAGGTGTGCCATGCCAATCCATCTGAGGGATCCTGCTTTATTCGCTGTATTTACAATCTACTGAATTCCTCCAGTCCAGCTGTGAGATATGAGGCAGCCGGCACCTAAGTCACTCTATCCAGTGCTCCAACAGCAATCAAAGTGAGTAGAGGAATAAACCAAATGAATTTGACAGGTTTGTAGTGATGAAAGCTAAGCTTTAAAATATGTAAGAACATCACTGGTTGACAAAATTACATGAGAAATAGGTTAAGTATTTTTTGGTGAGTTACCTGTAGTTGTTATCTTTGCACTGACAGAATGTCTCCCATTTCGAATTTATATAGCTTGCAAGCAAGGGCCAAGGACCAGAACAATTTTTATGTACAGACACAGATGTGTCTGTATGTATTGCCTTCACCTGCGTCTGTCGTCGCCATTGTTGCCGTCACCGTCGCCATGCACTTTCAGCGTACACACGATAAGTGGAAGACAGTTTTACCTTTTGGCTTTATATTTACAGAGCTGATGAATATTCATAAAATGCAGGACAAGTTTGAAAATCAGCTTGATCGGGCCATTATTTTAGAAGTTATGCTGTTTTTTCACTTTTCAGCATATATTCAACACTTTAAACACATTTCAAGGCAAACCCATATGCTTGTTGTCATGAAACTCCCAGGTGTAATTAATCTTACTAAAATGCAGGTCAAGTTTGAAAATTAGCATGATCGGGCCATACATTATTTTCTCACTTTTCATCATATATGCAACACTGTAAACACATTTCAAGGAAAACCAATGGGCTTATTGACAAAACTCACAGGAGTGCTTATTCTTACTAAAATACAGGTCGAGTTCGAAAATAAGCTTAATTAGTTCAGTTTTGATGCAGTTACGCCTTGTTTTGTTTATAAGTGCTTTTACCTCAGATTCAATTCTTAGGCATGTTTACAGTCTCATTATTGAACTAATTAGATACGTATAACTGTTCTTTTGACAAATTTTTCATCTTTACAATGTTGTTAGTTGATTACATAAAAATGGTTTTAAACCTCTATTAATCTATTGTGTAATTAAGTGTCAAAAATGAAAAGAAAAGAAAAGAAAGAAAATGAAAAGAAAAGCAAATCATTGGAGTTTGTCAGATTTAATCATTTATTATGTTCAGAATCTCAGAATGGACCAAATTGAACATTTGACATTGTTTTATTGATATTTTCTATATCTCAACATTTTTCTTAGTTGATCATTAAAAAAGTACAGTAAATTAATTGTTTTATGTAAAAAAAAAAAGTGTTATAAATGGAAATAAACCCATTTCAGTACAGTTCTGTCTTGTTTACATATTTGGCATTTTCAAGGTGTGACTTTGAAGTTCTATGGGCCTGACCACCCTTGCCACTCACATTTTCTGATAATCCATGCTACATATATTTTATCATTAAAAATTGGTAGTCATTATGCTCTTTAGCATTACATAATATTGCATCAAAATTAAATAAGCCCTATTTTAAGCTCTGCCACTGTAGTGACCATTTTAGAAAAACCATGTCACTTACTATTCTCAAACTTTCAAGAAAGAAACATGGGCCAAAGATACAACTTCAGCTGGCAATGCAGTCTGTTTGGTTAATTTTCCTGTAAGTTAAACAGTTTTTTTTATGAACATACAATTTTTTACATGCTGCCACTTTCAAGATCTGCCTTTGAACCTCGATTGGCTTGAAGACCTTGCCAGTCACATTTGCTGAATATCCATGCCACTAATATTTTATTATGATAAATTGATAGTCATTATGCTGTTAAGCATTAGGTAATATTGCATCTAAATTGAAGAAAACCCAATTTTGGGCACTGCTGCCATCATGTCCCTTATAGAAAACATTGTTACTTATCATTGTCAAACTTACAAAAAAGAAACAGGACTAAAATGCAGCCTGAGTTGGAAAAGCAGTCTAATTGACTTCTTTTACTGCAACTTATACATTTTAGTGAAACATTCTTTTTAATCGTATTGGCATATTCAGTGTGGAACTCAGAACTCCCATGGGCATAAAGCTGAATGGTAATCAAATTTTCTACATGTCCATGTTATTTTAAGTCAATAATTAAAATTGCTCATAATTATTCTGTTATTTATTATGTAATTTTACATCAAAATTGACACAGATCTTTTCTGTACACTGCTGTACACTGCCACTGCAATTGTTATGAAAAGAAAACTGTTATTTATTATTTTAAACTTACAAGAATAATTTTAGGCTTGGCAAGAAGCTCAAATTAGATAGCCAGCTGAATTGATTTATCATTTATTATTGCATTAATGCAATTTCATAAATTTTCATTTTTCTCATTCTGGCATTTTCAAAGCGTGCACTTGAACTCTCATGGGCCTGAAGCCTTATGCTTGTTACACATTTTACTTACATCGGTAATACCTGTTGAGCTTAATTAAAATTTGATGTTGAATTTGCAGTTATGGATATCAAAGCATATCAAAGCATATCAATGCATGTCAATGCTGATGCAAAAGGACATTATGCTTAACTGCAAATTCAACATCAAATTTTAATTATGCTCAACAGACAACAGGTAATACCAATGTCAGTAAAATATGTTTAACAGCATAATGACCATCAAATTTTAATTGTAAAATATTAGTATCATGGATATTCAGAAAATGTGACTAGCAAAGGTCTTCAGGCCCATGGAACTTCAAAGTCACACCTTGAAAATGACAAAATGTAAACAANAATGCAGCGTTTGACCTCTTAACAAGCCTACTATTTGAAAGGGTACCGTTTATGCGCACTCTGATTTTCCTATTGTTCAGATAAAAGGCCAAGAGAGAGTGCAGTTTACCTCTAAAACCATAGGATATACCTGTACGTTTCAGAAGTAAAATACTGTGAGGTACGCTGTCAAATGCAGCAGCAAAATCTAGAAAAATACCTTTGGAATCAATACCATATCTGAAATTGTCCCTAATCAGATTATCAATTGATAGCAATTGATATTCAGTGCTGTGTCCTTAGGAAACCCGATTGTCTGTCAAAGAGAAGTTTATTGTCTATAACATGACTAATCATTGTCATATGATCCGCTCAAGGACCTTAGATATCACGCTTAACAATGAGATAGGTCTATAGTTCCCTGTCAGTTTTGCTGCCTTTCTTGTGCAGGGCGACAATTTGTGTCGTCACAGTCCAGGCTGTTTATTATACGGCTTATTTCTTCGGGTGTTTTGTCCAGATCGGTTAAAATAACATCTGTTCTTTGTGGGAAAGTGATATTTGTATTACAGGTTAAATTATCAGAATGGTAGCTTTTGACAAAGTTATTTAGGAAAACCTCAACTTTTTCTTTGTCAGAATTAGCAATATCACCGGTATTTACATTTCCAATCACCGGTTCTGACTGATCGAATTTATTACCCAGAAGTTCTTTCAGTGTTGGCCAATAATGTTTCTTACTATCTGTTTTGACTTCAAGTGATTCGATTAGACTTTTATAGTAACAGTCTTTAGTTTTACAGTTTAAAAACGGTAACTGCCCGCAACATTGTTTTTTTCTTTTCATTTTTTAGGGGTTATTTATTTTCTTCTTGAGTTTATCCTTTGTTTAGTTATTATTAGTAGGCTAGTTAAGGACCAAAAATTGGCCAAACGCTGCATTTTGTAGTACAAATGTCTAACTTGGCATGAATGTTCCTTTATCCAAAGAGACACGCTATATCGATGCATATATTATGCAAATATGCAATACAAAAAAATGACTTTTGCACCTCCAAAAAAGTAGGAATCAATATACATCACGTATATGTTGGTCAAACGCTTCAAAAATCAACATAAAATAGCAAAATTATGTCCGCTTTCAAAATGGCGGATGGTGGCCATCTTAGATTTGAGGCACAAAATGGCCGCCAACATGTTTTAGGCCAAAAATTGATGGAAATATGAAATATAATATAATTTGGTAACTAATTTGCATAATTTATGCTAATTTATGCATCGATATTATATAGCGTGTCTCTTTGTATAAACATTGTTTTGGCCAAAGCAACATTCATGCCAAGTTACACATTTGTACTATAAAATGCAGCGTTTGACCCCTTACCAAGCCTACTATAAATATTCACGCGCAGTGTTTTTTGGTTCTTTCTCTTTTGCCGTCCTTTTCTTTCTCTCTCTCTCTCTCTCTCTCTCTCTCTCTCTCGCTCTATTCATTATACATACCTAGGGATTTTATGTGACCGTGGCGATATGCTGATTAATTAAGTCTGTTCATTTAGATAAGCTTCAGTGAAGATCGAGGGCAACCTCGAGCCGCTTCCCAGAAATATCTCGCTTAACTCGACATTTCTGCGTAGCGTCTCTCAGGAAACTCGGATTTAACCTCGATGTAGTCTAGAATTTCACAATTTCATTTTGGTTAAATTAGTCGAGGTTTCTAAAATGCTGAAACCGAAGACAACGCTTTACATGTAACCTTTTGGTATCAAGAGAATAGCAACTTTGCTTGCGTTATATACCAAGACAAATTTAGAATCTCTCACACTCTTAAAAATCAGCATAATCTTTTCACGTTCAACAATCATTATTTATCATTTCATTACACTACTAGTAAGTCATATCGTATGGGTATGATTTGAAAACGGGAATTATTTTACATTTTAACCCCACGTGCATACAAAAAATATGTTAACGACGGTTGTGTTATATACCTTTTGTTTTTAAGCTGTTCTTCCTCTTTATCAGTAATATCGGTAAAAATCAAATCTATCCCCCCTTTGAACTTGTAATTACTTGTAGCTCATGGATACTCTGAAAACCAGCACATGTATACACAAGCTCACGGTACCCGTACCGCTGGTAAGGCCTCATAGCAGTATGTACAAAAGCCTTGAGACACTTAAGTACCTCGCAATATCCACGTTCTGACAATCTCTGTGGGTCCTCCGTTGCATCTTGTTGTATGTAAATCCAATTAAAATTTTTCGTGTACCATAAGGCACGAGGTTCATAAAGTTTTGGTCGTTTTATTTCAGCTTCCAACTGCACTGACACAACAGCACGTCATATTGTCGAACTCTCGCAGAAAGGGCGACCAGTTT